TACGTGCCTTTCCGGGACCTGCTGCCCATGGTGCACCCCAACGACATCATCTTCGACGGTAGGTGGGACACCGTGGGGGGGGGGGACACACCCCACAGCATGTGTGTGTGTGGGGGGGGTCACCCTGAGCGTTTGGGTCACGCCGTGTCCCCCAGGCTGGGACATCTCCTCGCTGAACCTGGCGGAGGCCATGAGGCGGGCCGAGGTGCTGGACTGGCCGCTGCAGGAGCAGCTCTGGCCCCACATGGAGAAGATGAAACCCCGGCCCTCCATCTACATCCCCGAGTTCATCGCCGCCAACCAGGAGGAGCGGGCGGACAACGTCCTCCAGGGCTCCATGGCTCAGCAGGTCCCGGGGCAGGGGGTGGCACAGGGTGAGGGGGGTGGGGGACATGCACAGGGCCACGGAGAGGGGTCACCACGGCCCTGACGCGTCCCCTCGGCCCCCGCCCCAGGTGGAGCAGATCCGCAGGGACATCCGGGACTTCAAGGAGATCACCGGGCTGGACAAAGTCATCGTGCTCTGGACGGCCAACACGGAGCGTTTCTGTGACGTCGTGCCAGGGCTCAACGACACCGCCGAGAACCTGCTCAGGGCCATCGAGGTCGGCCCACGGGCCGAGGGGGCGGGGGGTGGCAGGGGGATGTGTCCCCCCCCTCCTCGGTGGCACTGAGCTGTCCCCTGTCCCCCGCAGAAAGGCCTGGAGGTGTCCCCGTCCACGCTCTTCGCCGTGGCCAGCATCCTGGAGGGCTGTGCCTACATCAACGGCTCCCCCCAGAACACCTTCGTGCCGGGGGCCGTGGAATTGGCCGCCCAGCGCCGCGTCTTCATCGGCGGCGACGACTTCAAGTCGGGCCAGACCAAGCTCAAGTCGGTGCTGGTGGATTTCCTGGTGGGCGCCGGGCTCAAGGTGCGTGGGGAAGGGCAGGGGACTGTCCTGGGGGAGGGGGGGGGGGGGTCTGGAAGGTGGCAGGGGGTGACTTGGCCCTCCCCGCTGTGCCCAGACCAAATCCATCGTGAGCTACAACCACCTGGGCAACAACGACGGCAAGAACCTCTCGGCGCCACAGCAGTTCCGCTCCAAGGAGATCTCCAAGAGCAACGTGGTGGATGACACAGTCCAGGCCAACCCCATCCTCTACGGGCCCCAGGACAAGCCCGACCACTGCGTGAGTTGGGGGGTGGGCACGGGGGGGTGGCACAGGGGTGGGGGGTGACGGTGGAGGTGACGGGGCCGTGGCTCCGCAGGTGGTGATCAAGTACGTGCCCTACGTGGGGGACAGCAAGCGGGCGCTGGACGAGTACACGTCGGAGATCATGATGGGCGGCACCAACACCATCGTCATCCACAACACCTGCGAGGTGCGTGGGGGGCGGCCGGGCTGTCCCCGCGGTGTCCCCCTCGGCGCAAAGGGGTGGCTCCTCACCCCTCTCCTTCCCCCGTGGTGCCCGCAGGACTCGCTGCTGGCCAGCCCCATCATCCTGGACCTGGCCATCCTGACGGAGCTGTGCCAGCGCATCACCTTCTGCACCGAGGCCGATCCCGAATTCCAGGGCTTCCACAGCGTCCTCTCCATCCTCGCCTTCCTCTGCAAGGCCCCGCTGGTGCCCGAGGGCACCCCCGTGGTCAACGCGCTCTTCCGCCAGCGCAGCTGCATCGAGAACATCCTGAGGTACCCGGGGGATCCCACATCCCACCCACCCGTGGGTCCCAATGCCAGCGGGTCCCAGTGCCCAGAGTTCCCAACTCCAGTGGGTCCCAGTGCCTAATTAATGCCCAGGGGTTCCCAGTGCCTGGGGTGCCCAATTCCAGTGGTTCCCCAGTGCCCAGTATTAATGGGCCCGAGCACCAGTGGGTCCCAGTGCTCAGTGCTTGGGATGCCCAACTCCAGTGGCTCCCAGTGCCTCAAATGCCCACCCCGTGCCCCCAGTTCCCCCCACACCGTTTCCCCCCCACTGTGGGTGCCCGATGCCACCCCCATTCCCCCATCTTGGGGTGCCCAGCCCTGACCCCTCCTCTCTCTCTCTGTTTCCCCCCAGGGCCTGCCTGGGGCTGCCCCCCCAGAACCACATGCTGCTGGAGCACAAGATGCAGCGACCGGCCCCCAGCCCCAAACGTGCCTGTCCCGGGGGGGCCTCCTGCCCCCTGGCCCCCAAGAAGACCCCGGTGCCCACCCAGCTCAACGGGCACCCCTGTGCCCCCCGGCCGGGGCCCCCCCACACCCCCCTGCACGTCGACGGGGCCGACTAACACCGACTGCCCTATTCTATTTCGTATCAGCTTTTTAAGGGAATGGAAGGGGGGGGGGGTTGGATTTGGGGAGGGGGGGCCTGGGGGGAGGTCCATGAATTGCCCCCTTCCCCCCACCCAACAAATGCCGCCGGCGACTCCAAACTGTGAAGCTTCGAACCCGCCAATAAACCCGGAGCACAGCGAGACCCCCCCGCCTCAGCTGCTTCCTGGGGGGGCTCTCACCTGGGGCTTGGGGTCCCCTCAGCTCCTTCCTGCTTCCCCTTCACCTGGGGTTCCCCTCCCCTGGTTCCTTGGGGGGTCTCCTCACCTGGTTTTGGGGTCAACTGGTTCTCGGGTCCCTCTCACCTTGTTTTTGGGGGACACCTCACCTGGTTCTTTGGGGTGTCCCCACCTGGTTTTGGGGTCCCTCACCTGGTTGCTAGACCACCCCCCCCATCCATTAACCCCTTCCCCCCCAACGAGACCCAAATGTCAGCTTCTGAAAAAAAATCAAATTACATTTATTGATGCGGGGAGAGGGGGTTGGGGGGTGTTTTTTTTGTTTTTG